ACAAACAAACAAACAAACAAAAAAAGATTAGACAAGAGGAAGGGAATAAAGGGGAGGGGTTCAAAGTACATAATGGGGGATAGCTATAATAAAAATATACTCATTGAAGCCAGGTGTTGTGGAGCACACCTGTAATCGCAGCACTCGGGAGGCTGAGGCAGGAGGATCTTTGAGAGTTCGAGGCCAGCCTGGACTACAGAGTGAGCTCAAGGCCAGCCTGAATTGCATAGTGAGACCCTGTTTCAAAAAGACAAAAAAAAAAAAAAAAATTAAAAAATATGCATACTCACTGAAATTTCCAAAATATGTGAGACTGGAGGAAGGGTGGGGCAAGGAGGTGACGGGGGATGAAAATGACCCAAGTGTGTTCTGTGCATGTACAGAGCTGCCAAGATGAAACCATTCATCTGTGTAGCCAATTAAAAAAGTGAGCGCCTGCCTGGCAAGCGCAGGTCGTGAGTTCGGTTCCCGGTACCGGAGAAAAACCAAAAAAAATAAAAAATAAAAAAATAAAAAAGTGAAAGAAACCTCAGTGAACTGTTTTTCCCTAACGTGTGACTGATAAAATCATGTACGAGTAAAATATCCATTCAAAGCCCAAAACAGACTAAAGAGGTAACAAAATGAGAAGTTCACTCATGCATTTTGAGACTCCACATCACAACTAACCCTCAAGAAATTATCACTTGTTGCAAGAGGCTCTGGGTTTAAGCCCCAGCTAAACAAAAAACAAAACAAAACAGACAAAAATAAATGATCACTGGCTATCTTGTAGAGTAGTGTCATTTCAAAGAATACCCACAATTACAAAGACTCCTTACTTTCCCAACTAAAGAACTGTACGAGGCTGGATTTTCTTTAAACACTTCGACCAAAACAACATACCACAACAAACTGACTGTAAAAGCAGATATGATAATTCACTTGTCTTCTATTAAATCAGACTTTGAAAAGATTTTCAAAAGTAATACTCTTCTTCTGGTTAATGATTTTTGCCTTGAGCAAAATAGTTATTTTTCATATAATATAGGTTATATTATTATGTACTATATTTGGGTTACTACTGTGGTAAATTAATAGATTAAATTTTTTTCTTAGTGTTAATTGCCAGTAATAATAAATAGCAGCAGATAAACCCACAGAGACAAAATTTTTTGAGGTCCTTAGTCATTTTAAAGAGGATTAAACTGTCTTGAGACTACAGAGTTTTTAAACTGTCAGATTGATGTATGAGTTACTGGTTTGCATTGTTATTAATTTTTTATTAAGTTGAGTTTACTAAGGTATCATTTCCATACAATAAAATTTGTCTTTTGAGGTACATTCTGTGAATTTTTACAAATACATAGCCATGGAACCTCCACAGCCAATCACCCAAAGTTTCTTCAGACCCTTTACAGTGAAGGCTTCCATCACCCAGGTCCTGATATCCACTAACCTGTGTTCTTTTTTGATAGTTTTTCTTTTCTAAGGCATCGTATAAAATGGTATTACACAATACACAGCTTTTCAATTTGGCTTCTTTTACTTAACATAGTGCTTTTTTGTTTTTGTTTTTGCTCTTTTTGAGACAGGGTTTTGTTATGCAGTTCAGGCTGACCTCAAACTCACTTTGTAGCCCAGGCTGGCCTCAAACTCACAGCGATCCTCCTGCCTCGGCCTCCCGCGTGCTGGGATTACAGGCATGCACCACTATATCCAGCAACACAGTGTTTTTGTTGTTGTTGTTGTTGTTGTTTGTTTTTTTCTCATTCCATGGATTCATTAACACAGTCAGAACTGGACCCAGCCCGCGCAACAGCCCTCGTCGGGTCTTGGGCCTGTATGAGCAGCTCACTGCACCAGAGCCGGGAGCTGAGCCCAGGCAGGGCTGCCCTGGGTCTGCGTGGGGTCCGACGTGGCGTCTTCCTCACACAGCGAACACAGTGTTTTTGATATTCATCCCTGTTGCTGATTTTACCAGTTCCTCTTTTTAATGCCTGGCTAGTATTTAAATTGTGGATGGGTGGGTGTACGATTTTTTATTTGTCAGGTGATGAACACTTGAGTTGTTTAGTTTTTAAAGATTTTTGAATAAAGCTGTCCTAATCCATTTGGGGGAATTTACACTGGGCGACTGATACACAACAAATATCAGGAAGCTTATAAACAACAGAAATCTATTGCTCACACATCCCTAGAGTCTGGAAGCCCAAGGTTGAGGCAGATTCAGTATATGGTGAGGGCCTCATATTTTGGTTCAGAGATTGTGACTTCTACCTGTGACTTCAAAAGGCAGAAAGGGTGAACATGGTTTGCAGGGTCTGTTTTCATAAGGACATAAATCCCCCTTATGAGGGCTCTGTCCTCAACAATTATGTTCTAAAAGGCCCCACCCCGTTACTATCACCTTGGAGGGAAAGTATGAGAACATACAGACACTACTTTCTAAGGAGGCCAAATCATTTTGCTTTTTACAAACAACATGTAGGAATTCCAGGTGTGCCACATCTTCTCAGCACTTTGTATCTCAGTTTCTCCTCCTTCCTCTTTTTACTGTTTTGTTTTAATTTTTGTTTGTTGAGACAGGGTCTTTCTGAGTTCAGACTGGCCTTGAACTATGTAGTCCAGGCTGGCCTCAAACTCACAGCAATCCTCCTGCCCCAGCCTCCCAAGTGCTGGGGTTACAGGTGTGTGCTGCCATGCCAAGCTAATTTCTCTAGTGTTTTTATCAAGTAGGCAATTTTTTAGTAAAGGGATTGTATATCTAATGTAGCCTCCAGTTAGCATTAGATCCATGTTTACTACTATTATGTAGAACTAACAGTCAACTGTTAGCTCCTCAGTTGAAGTTTAAGTCTTTTGATGATATTGGGAAAAGTAATTGCCCATAAACTTATGTACCCGTATAAATCACTACTTAACCCTTTTTTAAAGTCAGTATTAACTGTCCATAGCAAATGATCTTGCCCCTACGTTTTTTAAAGATTTGGCAAAAGAAAAGCAGTTTTATCCTGCATTTGAATCTCATTACCATTATGGAGATTTCACTGAGGATGAAATCACCAGACACTGATCTGCTCCGCCCCTCCCTGCTGCAGCCATCACTGTACTGGCCTCCATCTCAGCCTTTGCTTTTGGAACTGAACCATATACCAACCAGTGCGACTTGTTTTTTTTTTTTTGTCTGTTTGAGACAGGGTCTCAGTATGCAGTTCAGGCTGGCTTTGAACTCACTTTGTAGCCCAGGCTGGTCTCGAACTCGCAAGGATCCTCCTGCCTCAGCCTCCCGAGTGCTGGGATTACAGGTGTGCGCCACCATGCCGGCCCAGTGCGACTTTTAAACCCATTTTTATAGTATTTTAGTAGGATCTCTGTTTCAGATATATGTCTGTTTCTCTGTAATGCTAGGAGTTCAACCCAGAGACTCACAAGCAAGCCTTCTACCACTGAGCCTTTCATGTCATTTTAGTGGTTAAATATGAATCTACATTTATCTCAAAATAAATTCAATTTCTTTTGTTACTTATTTATTATTGGCAGTACCGGGGATTGTAGCCCAGGCTGGCCTCAAACTCACAGCTAAAACTCAGCTGGTCTGACGAAACGCTGCATTGAGCTGAGGGAAATGATTAGAGTGACCTAGGTCCACGAAAACAAAGTTACAGGGATCTTCCCAGGATCTTCCCACTGAGCTACATCCCCATTCTTTTTCGGTCGGGGCGGGGGTGGGGGGCGCTGATTACTAAGAATCAAACTCAGGACCTCATGCTTGCCAGGCAGGCGCTGCGTCACAGCTACATCCCCGGCCCCCCTCCCCCATTTTTTTCTATTTACTTTGAGACAGGGTCTCCCTGTGTCACTAATTGCCCAAGCTGGGTTCTAACTTGTGAACTTGTGATCTTCCTGAGTCAGCCTCCCAGGGTGCTGGGATTACAGGCCTGTGCAACCACCCAGCTAATTTTTAAACAGAAAAAAAAAAAAAAAAAAACCAACGTGTTCAACTTCTAATGGTCCAGTTGTCCTTTGACTGCTGGGTGTTTGTTATTAAACAAGGTTTAGGTTTGGTTTTGTCTTGTCTTGTCTTGTTTTGTGACAGGGTCTCGCTATGTAGTTTAGGATAGCCCTGAATTTACTATATATCCCAAGCCAGGCTTGAACTCGAAGCACTCCTGCCTCAGCCTCCTGAGTGCTGGAATTACAGGTCTGTGCCACTATGCCCTGCATATCGTTAGAATTTAAATATGTTGTCTCTTCCTATTTTAAAAAATAATAACAGGGCTGGGAGCGTAGCTCACTGAGAGACCCTGCCTACCACGGATGAGGCTCTGAGTTCAGTCTCCAGCAACCCCAAAATAAATAATTACTAATAATAGCAGGAACTGTAAGGCAATTCTCCAACCCTACTGAACATCATTTTGCTCTTCTTTTCATAGTTACATTCAAGAATTGTTCCCATTTACTATTTCCATTTCCTAAACTTCTGTTCTCACAATCCAGTAGGACTCGCCGCTCAGAGAACCTGAGCTCCTCGCCGCCCGCGACAGCTTGACCTCACGCCCGCTCTCCACGCGTTAGCGTCTCCGTGGGCCGGCCCGACGCCGCGCCGCGGTGAGCGGAGGGAAGGGACTCCGCGGGCCTAGGACGGCGGAAACAAAGTCACAGTAAAGCCTTGCGTGCAAACGGCGAAGGGGAAAAGGCGACTGGACAGCGATACTTTTTGAGAGGGGACGTGATAGAAAAGCAATAGGCTTACACTGGGCCATGAAACAAAACAATGAGACTGGCATCCTCTTTTTTCTCCATTCTCCTCGGGTTTGCATACTCAAGGTAAAAAAGGTTACTGTCCACGCGACACGGCGTCAAATACGGGCCGGGAGTCTGTAAGGACTGGATCGGCCAGTGTCGCGCATGCGGACAAAGAAGCTCCCAAGTCACCCGCGGAACCTGCGCGTTGGGTAGAGGTTGCTGCACGGCGCCGGGCTTCCCGAGGCAGAGGCGTGCGCGCATGCGTAGTGGCGCTTCCGGCACAGCTGGTGGTATAGCAAGAGTGGTCTCCAAGAGACATAGGGACGCTGCGCCTGGGTCCTGCAGCAGCCTCTCAACGCGCCGCCGCTCTCTGCCCAAAGGCGTGAGGGCAGCGTGGGACACTTTGGAGGCGGGTCCGAGGCTGGCTGTGCACCCCCCACTTTTCTGTCCAGGCCCGGGCAGTGGCGCTGAAAAAAGGATCAGGGTGGCGAGGGGGAGTAGGAAAAAAAGATCCGGTTAGACTTCCATGCCGATCGAGTGAAGTTAAGCCCTTTGAGCACATAGCAAAAAAAGAAAGAAAATGAAGTTAAAGCTGAAGCAACTAGAGAGTCGCCTGCAACAAGTGGATGGATTCGAAAAACCCAAGCTACGTCTAGAACAGTATCCGACCCGGCCGCACATCGCAGGTAGGGCGGCTGGCTCGCCGTGCCCTTGCTTCCGGTTAGTGCTGTCCACTCGCTTCGTGATGAAAATGAGACTTATTTGAATACAGAGAATGTCTAGAGAAATTCTGCCCTAAGATCCTGTGTCACATTAGAGGGCTTTCTTGACGTCGCTCCAACACACACACTTTACCATTTTACAGATTGGTTTTATGCATACTTAACAGTTTGGCATCTTTTTAATGTTTCTCTCACACTATAAAATTCTTGGAAGCTAGGAATGTATTAGTATTCTTCATCCTTGAATTGCCTAAAGGAGTTGCTGGTTCTGGGAGGCTGAGGCGGAAGTGAATCTCGAGTTTGAGCCCAGCCTGAGAACAATTTAGTGTCCCTTTCCTAAAATAAAAATTTAAAAAATCCCTAAGTGTTCCAGAGTTCTAGAATCTTTCCTTTCTTTTTTCTTTCTTTCTTTCTTTTTTTCTTTCTTCCTCCCTACATTTCTTTTTCTTTCCTTCCTTCTTTCTTTCGAGACAGAGTTTCACTGTGCAGTTCAAGCTGGCCTTTAACTCACTATGTAGCCCAGGCTGGCTAACTCGCAGCGATCCTCCTGCCTCTCAGCCTCTTGAATGCTGGGATTACAAGCGTGCAGCACCACGCCCGGCCCAAGTATCCAGTTTTATAAAAAATAAAATTCAGCTGTAGCAGCAATCAGGACAGCATGGTCAGTATGAAATATCTCTGTAATTGTTTTTAATAAAACCTCTGGATCCTCAGGCATCACTGATGGCCAGCAGTCCTTGCTGAGTTCTGATACCCACAGGAAGATATACTGGCGTCACTCATGTCTATCTATCATACATGCAAGAGCCTTATGTTTGAAAGTCTTTGTAATCTCAGCAGCCTCTGTCCGCGCCTGAGTTTTTATCAGGTCTTACTTGCAGATGATGACATGTGTGCCTGTAGATCCTGAGTATGTGTCTAAAGGCTATGCTGTAGATATAGCTGCTCATGATATCTGTGTTCTGGTGATAAACTTGTTGCAAAACAAGTCCTATTTTTTTTTTTTATGCTAATTGTTGTTTGACATTAGTGGTGCCTAGACTTGGCAGATTTCACAGATCAATTAAAATTTCAAAACAGTTTTGGAGACTGAGACAAGGTTGTCACATATTTTGACAGGGAAAGATATTTTAAAAAACTACTAATTCATAGTATTCTTTCGTAAAAAATATTTGTGTCTAAGGAAAAGAGCTATATTTGGAGTGAAATAAGTGAGGGTAAGCAATATCTTGAAGAGACTGAAACTTGATTTTATTTTTCTGATTTTAGCTTAGAGACTGGTTAGTTTTATCATTCGTGCATAGTCAGTAGACACTAGTTTTGGGGACCCACTGGTGTGTTATTCTCCTTCATGTTTTTACTACATACCAAATTATTATACCTCATCCTTTTTAAAAAAATAATCTAGAACATCATTTGGAGGGCTAAGGCACTACAAAACAAATTATTTTAGAAATCATTTACACAAATTGGATTTTAATAATCAGCTTTCTTACTCCCTAATATCTTTTTGGTTTTTTTTAGCTTGTATGCTCTATACAATCCATAATACATATGACGACATTGAAAACAAACTGGTTGCAGATCTAGGATGTGGTTGTGGAATGCTTAGCATTGGAACTGCAATGTTAGGAGCAGGGTAGGTGATCCAGTTTATACTGTTTGGGTATGGGGTGGCCTTAATTACAAGTGTAAATAGTATCAACTGAATTATATTCAGGAGATTCTACACGATAAGAGCAGAGAATGTGATACTGAGTACACTTTGAATGGACAGATCAAAGATTCCTTATAAAAAATAAATTACAGTGATAGGAGAGCAGTTTGTTGTTTTTTTTTTAACATAAACCTGAGTCTCCATCCCCTCTCATGCTGGGAAATCATGCTATGGAAAAGCAACACTCACTTTTACTGTGTCAGTTGAGTTAAAAAGTAAATGGTAAAATAGCTATTGTTGGTGTTGTTTTGACTCTGTATGTTTTATTTATAGACTGTGTGTTGGATTCGACATAGATGAAGATGCACTGGAAATATGTAATAGGAATGTGGAAGAGTTTGAATTAACAAATGTTGATATGATTCAGTATGATGTGTGCTCATTATCTAAAAAAATGCCCAAGTCATTTGATACAGTGATTATGAATCCTCCCTTTGGGACCAAAAATAATAAAGGTTAGTAACAAGAATCAGCTGTACTGATGTATTTATAGAAAAGCAAATTTTAAAAATCACTTTCGCAGGTGGGTATTGTGGTGTACTCTGTAATCCCAGCACTCTGAGGCAGAAAGATCACAAGTTTGAGCCCAGCCTGGACAATTATTGAGACCTTATCTCAGTGCCTAGTGCTAATCCCCAATTCAATCCCCAGTACTGCAAATAAATAAAATTACCACTGACTGGGTTAAGTGATTTTACCACTGTTCATTAAATAAACCAGTCTCTTACTTACATATCTACTACAATTTAAATTTCAATTTGTTTAATATGATTAGGGAATTGAATTTTTCATTCACAGATGTGTGAAAACATTTATGATTTGTATACCTAATTATTTGACAACTCCTTATGAATGATAATAAAAGTATGAAAGATTTTATACTTTTTGTTTTATGAGAAAGGGGTCTTGTTATGTAGTTCAGGCTGGCCTTGAACTCACTGTGTAGCCCAGGTTGGCTTCAAAACCTGCCTCAGCCTCACAAATGCTGGGATTATAGATGTACAACACCCCGCCTGGCAGGATTTCACAGGGAGGTGCTGGGATTGAACTCAGAGCCTTGGTATGCTAGTAAATACATGCTATATGGCTGCACTATACCCCAGGTCATTATTTTTTGTGTGTATTGGAAGGATGAGACAGGGTCTCACAAATACAGGGTTTTTTTGGTATTTTTTTTTTTTTTGACACAAAGTCTCATCATACAGTTCAGGCTGGCCTTGAGCTCTTTGTAGCCCAGGCTGGCCTCAAACTCACATGATCCTCCTGCCTCAGCCTCCCAAGTGCTAGGATTACAGGCCTGTGCCACCTTGCCCGGCAAATCTCAATTTCCTTGTTTTGAGACGGGGTCTCGCTATGCAGTTCAGGCTGGCCTTGAGCTTACTTTGTAGCCCAGGCTGGTCTCAAACTCACAATGATCCTCTTGCCTCAGCCTCTTGAGTGCTGGGATTATAGATGTGTGCCACCACACCTGGTTTAAAATTATTTTTAATGCCTTAAAACACCTGAGGGTTTCAAAATGTACCCAACTAAGGCCAGGCCTGGTGGCACATACCTGTATTCCCAACAGATGGGAGGCTGAGATTGCTACTAGTTTGAGGTCATCCTGGGCTACATATTGAGTTCAAGGCCAGCCTCAACTACAAAGCAAGACCCTGTCTCAAAAACAAAACAAAAATGTGCCCATCTATAAGTGAGTCAGTTAATAATTTTGGATATACTATGGGCAGGGAAGGCAAGAAGTCAGAAGAGAAAAACTAACCATGCATAATTTAAAAAGTATACCCCAACCCACCAAGATGATTATTCTGTTCTATGATGAATATTTGATCATATTCATATTTGATCATATTCTATTATGAATATGATGAATATTACTATTCTATATTTTCCCTTCTTTTTTGAAAGTCACTAATTTGGATTATAATATTAAAATATTGGGGCTGGGGATTTAGCTCAGCGGCAAAGCGCCTGCCTGGCAAGCGCAAGGTCGTGAGTTCAGTTCCCGGTACCAGAGAAAAAACAAAAAAATAAAAAAACAAAAAAATAAAAAATAAAATATTGACTTAGCTTATTTTCTAACCAAAAGGTTTAATTCTGGTTTTATTCTTTTAGCCTTAACAAAATACTATAATTTACTTAATTTAATTTTATTTGTATCATGACTTATTACAGAAAGAATTTGAAGTGGCTATTTTGGACTTTGGGGGAAATTTTTCTAAATCCTGTTCATTTAATCTTTTACTTTGATGATAAATACATAATGTGAGTAGGAGCTGTTTTTTTTTCCCCTGCAGGGATAGATATGGCTTTTCTTAAGACTGCTTTGGAAATGGCAAGAACAGCAGTATATTCTTTACACAAATCCTCAACTAGAGAAGTAAGTTTAAATCATCTTGATACTGTCACTGATTTTTAAATTTCTGACATTACTTTTAGAATTTGCTGTGAATGCTAGGTACCACTGTTGTCAGGAAAGGGACTATAATTCAGGAATAGAGAAGGGTGCTAACACTAGTTTCCATACCTTCTGATTTGCTGGGTAAGTCACAAGTGATGAATATTCACCGTTTCTCCCAGGGTCAGTGTGGCCTCATGTGCTTAAGGGAGACATTAGGCCTGGTTATTTAAAATACTGAACCTTCAACAAGTATCAGAAAATAACATATTCCATTATTCTTTTTGCCAAAATATAACACAGGGGAGCTGCATTGTGTATATAAGATGTATTCAAGAAAATTGGGGGAAGGGATACTTTTCTTAGTCTCCGCATAACACAGTGATTAAGAACTTTGCTAGCCTGTTCAAGGCACTTGAGTTTAAGTTTCTTCATCTATATGGTACTAACTTGTACAGTACTCTTACTGTAAGAAATTTTAGGGGGCTGGGGATTTAGCTCAGTGGCACAGCACCTGCCTGGCAAGCGCAAGGTCGTGAGTTCGATTCCTGATACCAGAAAAAAAAACGGGGAAAAAAAAAAAAAAAAGAAACTTTATACCATTGTGAGGACTGAGTTAATATATTACAAAGCACCTAGATCAGTGTCTGGCATATGTAATTGTTACGTGTTGGCTGTTATTAACACATAAAGAAATTTTAAAGTAGTTTTGAAGGAAAAACATTCATGAACATAAAAAACTGTTGGAAATAATACATTCAATACGGTAACGTAATAACTTCAAAGTATAAAATCAAAAAAGAAATATACTGCTGACAATGTGCAGTATATGTCAGCAGCCAACAGAAAGCAAGTTATCTATTGGTAAATAAATTTTCATTCATATGAAAGCAAACACCATGGTATACCGTGCATCAGTATCGAACAAACTTAGGTTGGGCCCTAAACCAGCGGCCGATTTGTTAATTCACTGGAAATCTCACAGGACCCAGTATGTGGTTATACATCTAGCTGTGACTTACTACAAAAGGTTTCAAAGCCAAATCAGCAAAGGGAAAGGCACCCTGGGCAAAGTCTGGGGGAAACCAGGTGCAAGCTTCCAGTGTTCTCCCAGTAGACTAACACAGGACACACGTAATTCTTCCGGCGTGAACTGTGACAACACACGTGAAGTACCGCCGGTCCAGAAGCTCATTAGACTCCGTTTCTGTATTTTTTATTGGGCACCGATCATGCAAGAATCTCCCTTTATGACACTCAAATTCCATACTCCCAGTAAGAATACAGGCATTCAGCATAAACAGTTCAGGCACAGTGAGCCACTTTTATCAAAAGGGTAGGGAGTGGGAACCCTCCCGGGATTTAAATTCTCATGCTCCAACCAATGGCCAGAATTGTAAGCAGGCCTTTCTAAAGATAAGCAGTCTGTTCTGTTATGAACTTTTTTTTTTGTACTGGGAATCGAACTTAGGACCTTGCGCTTGCCAGGCAGGCGCTTGTGCCGCTGAGCTATATCCCCGGCCTGATGAACTCTTTTCTAAACAACTTAGCATAGCATGAAACTTATCTAATTCATATAAAATTCATGCCATACAATAAGACAGTAAAGAAAAGGTGGAATTAAGCAGGAAAATCAAGTTATTGTATTTGAGTGAATGCCTCACATTACCAGAACTCCATGCTTCACCATTAGGTGGCAGCATTCTCACCTTGGCAGGCTTAGAGGTTGCATTCTAAAAATATTTCACCAAGTTCTTTCACTTAGAGCAGACTATGTCCATCAGCATAGTAACTAAGTAAGAAATTTATCTGGTGAGTACTGTGTATATGGGAAGGAGGTGTGATGAGGGATGAACGTCCTTCTAATCTTACTACAGTCCCTGTTTTATGCTATAGATTAACCTGCTATAAATTTATAGTTTTGCTTATTTCAGGTTTCTATTTAATTAGTAGTGTTGTTACTAAAGCTTACCCCGAACTTCTTAAGTGTAGACCTTTTTAAAGAACTTCCTGGTGCTGGGGATATAGCTCACTGGCATAAGCGCCTGCCTGGCAAGTGCAAGGTCGTGATCCCCGGTACCGCAAAAAAAAAAAAAAAAAAAAGTGCTTGATTTGCATCTGGTAACTGTTTAATACAAATACTTAGGCTAAAAAAAAATACGTACTGGCAAACATATGACTATCCTGACTCTCAAAGCTGCAATTTCACCTCATCTAGCATTTTGAAAATTTAATTCCTGGCTTAGTTAGACTTGACAGAGGAGCACGGTAGGTAAGCCTGGTGCTATTCTTCCAGTTTATCCAAAGTTCACCCATTAGCTCTTTTATCTCTGGCAGAACTATATCCTATTATATAACCCAACATCTAAAACCTCTTTCCCTTAGGGTTTACATGGCAAAGAAATGTCGTAATTTCTCACAAATTTATTAAGAATTCCATGATCCCATTGTAATTTATGTACATTAAAACCTATATCCGTATATGGACATTCTAGATTTCACATAATATGCCCAACACTGAGATTAAGCTCAGGAAAACCATAAGCACAAACATTAATGTATTATTTGTAACAATGGAAATATTGGAACCTAAAAATTGGAAAAATTTTTATGACTCAATGCCAATATTAGTAAGATTACCAAAACAAAGTGCTTACAATAACCAATTAAGACATACTTACTACAGCATTTCTAGAAATTTTTGCAGGCATTATTTAGGGGATTATGGTCAACTTTTTTTTTTTGAGACAGGGTCATGCTATGCAGTTCAGGATGGCCTTGAGCTCTCTTTGTAGCCCAGGCTGGCCTCTAACTCGCAATGATCGTCCTGCCTCAGCTTCCTGACTGCTAGAATTATGAACATACACCACCATGCCTAATAATAAAGCAATTTTAAATAGCAAATTAGTAACGAAAATTTAGTAATACTTTTGTGAAGTAGTTCAAGAATTTCATCCCGGTACCGGAGAAAAACCAAAAACTAAAAAAAAAAAAAAAAAAAGAATTTCAGACCCAAAGTAGCTAACATATTTGGGTGCTATGAATGATAGCAAGGTTTAAAACTTTTATCAATCTGCAAAAATCCAATGGAATCTGTTTTCCTGATTGGAGGAAATCAAGGAAAAGAATGAGTAATCTTCTCTGGGTTACAAGGCTAGTAAGCAGATTTGCAGTGAAATGCATGCAGTCTGGTGGCAGAGACCATGCTCCTAGTCGAGATGCTGCCACTGAAATGTCCATGGACATCTCTCTGTGAAATACCATAGTTTCCAGGTTAGCTAGTTGTATGTTAAAGTAATAATGCTGCAGAAACCATGAGTATATCATATACTTCAATGGATTTCTGAAATAATGTTCTGTTTGAATTTAATTATATAATTTGTTAAATGTTTTGAGACAGAGTCTTGCTATGTGGTTCAGGCTGGCCTCAAACTCATGGCAGTCCTGCCTCAGTCTCCTGAGTGCCAGTTACAGGTTTGTGTGTGTGTCTGTGTGTGAAATGATGTGATTTCTGATTTTCAAAGTACTATGTATCTAGCTGAAACCTCTATTAAGAATTTAATTTTCAATGAAATTTAAAGTTTGAAAAGTTAATCTCAAGTATTAGTAAAAAGCAGTTTTAAACATCATTAAAAACCAGCTCATGTAAAGATGTTATTTGTGTTTAGCATGTTCAGAAAAAAGCTGCAGAATGGAAAATCAAGATAGATATTATTGCAGGTAAGATAAATCTCAATCCTAATTATGTCAAAGGGCCAACCCAACTAAAATGTTTGTGTAAGTAATAAAATATACTGCTCTATAGAATGTTTTCCATTGTGGTAAACGTGTCTGATTGGTAGTGGATTGGACGTAGGGGAAATGCAAAGCAAACATTCAATTTATGTGTTTTATTGTTTTGGTTTTTTTTTTGCAGTACTAAGGATTGAACCCAGGCTCTTTGCACTGAGCTCTATATGCCCACCCTTTTTTGTTTTATTTTGAGATAGGGTCTAAGTAAATTCCCAGGATGGGCTCAAACTCGGTCCACTTACCTTAGCCTGCCAGAGTGCAGAGATTACAGCTATGTGCCACACCAGGGTTTGGTTATTCCAGTCATGTATCATTACGTGAGCCTAGCATGGTGGTGCACGCCTGTAATCCCAGCACTCACGAAGCTGAGGTAGAACAATCGCTGTGAGTTTGAGGCCAACCCAGGGTACAAAGTGAGTTCAAGGCCAGCCTGAACTGCATAGTGAGAGACCCTGTCTCAAAAAGACAAAAAAAAAAAAAAAATCAGTGAATAAAAACATGGCTCATAGCTGGTTAAGACCTTAATTTAAAATTCATTCATGGAAAATGCCACCAGGCTATGTCTAATTTTCTCACTACCTACTAAGTAAATAACATTGACCTTTTTCTTTTTGGTGGTATATAGGATATCAATATTCTCATTATAAGTAAGTCGTATTTGATACATTTTTGACTAAGTTGGGTAATAGTAATAAACATCACAATGGGAAAAACAAGGAACTATAATGCAAATACTTTTTTTTTTTTTTTTGGTACTGGGAATCGAACTCATGACCTCAGGCTTGCCAGGCAAGCACTTAGACTGCTGATCTATATCCCCAGCCCTGCAAATACTTTTGTAAAAAAAAAAAAAACCAAGATTTAGTCCAGCTACGTAGTCTAGGCTGGCCTCAAACTCTTTCTTCCAAGTGTCTGGACAACCATGGACTATCACACCTAGCTAATCCAAATGCTTTTGAAAAGCCTGAATTGAATTAAGAGTGCAAGAAGGGGAACATATTCTTACACAATAAAAGTTACCATGAATGGGTTTAACTAGATCTGTTACTACTCATAATAATTAGTAATTATGCATTGAAAGGATGTTGGTTTTTCTATTATATTCAGTACTGTCATTCCTTTTGCAGCCTAGACTATAATAAGTAATATGAAACATTTTATGAGAACAATCCCAGTAGTATACCAAGGCAAAACCGTACTATACATATGGTCTCCAGATCATCAATACTGACATCTCTGGAAGCTTGTTAAAAATCCAGAATTTCAGCCTTCATTCAAACTTAGTAAAAGATTTTAGTGCTTAGAGTACACATTAATACTTGAAAGCAGTGACTTACAGGGTTATAATTTGGGTTGGAAAATATAAAGGTTAGGTAATTGATTGCCATCTTTTTCAAATTTTGGTGTAAATGATCAAAACAGCAGAAAAGTTGGGCATCATCACGCACACCTGTAATCACAGCACTCACGAGGCTGAGACAGAAGGATCGCGCAAGTTCAAGGCCAGCCTGGGCTACAAAGTGAATTTCAAGGCCAGCCTGAACTGCACAGTGAAACCCTGTCTCAAAAAGACAAAAAAAGCAAAGAAACACCAGAAAAGCCACACTCAGTTTGTCACAGCCAATCCTGAAGCAGTACCGGGTCAGTACTTGGAAAAATGTTGAACTGACAGGTCTAAGTTATGAGGTTTACAAGCATTTACTATTTCCTTAGTTTTGTTTTTAGTTAAGGGCAGTAAATGTTTAGAAATGTAATTTTTATCTTTATGTGTCTTTTGTTTTACAGAGCTTCGATATGACCTTCCAGCGTTATATAACTTTCATAAAAAGAAATCAGTAAGTTTCTTGATTCTAGTCTATCTGGCATTCAGTACCAAAAACCTCTTCAATAAGTAATTATTTCTACTGTTATCAAGTTGCCTGGGTAAATGCAAAAAAGTCAGCCTCAGAGATTAACTATTATTAAGTGTGAGACGCTGGGTGTGACGGTGCATGCCTGTAGTACCAGAACTTGGAAGGCTGAGGCAGGAGAATCACCACAAATTTGAGGTCAGTCTAGGCTACGTAATAAGGCCAGCCTGAACTGCACAGTGAAATCATCTGAAAAACCAAAACAAAGTGTGGGAAGGGCTCATAATCAACAGGCAGTACTCTTGCAGTTGAAGATCTTAACAAAAAGGAACATGTGAGTTCTTTTTATATAGTATATATTTTGTTATTTTATACTAATACATTCTCATATTACAAAGGCAATTTAGTGGGAGAATCTTTTTGATATCTGAGTCTGAACACAAATAAAACTATACATTTAAAAAAATGTGTTTGGGTAACAACAAAAAGATGAGTTAAAACAACAACAAAAATTGTCCTTTTTTACAGGTGGACATTGAAGTGGACCTAATTCGGTTTTCTTTTTAAAAGCCGCCAAAGACAAAAAGCAGCTTAAAACCTAAGATGAATAAAAAAACCTGTTTACTAAACTACTGGTCTCCAGCACCATTTTCTGTTTTCTGTTGTTTTGGTGCAGGTTCTTCTTTGTCTGTTTCTTCTCTTGCTCTTTTCACTGATCC